CATTGGCCAGAGAATGTTAACAAAGCCCTGTGGGCCCCAGGAAATCTGGGCCATAATTTCTGCCAACTAGCGGGCAATCATGGCTTCACCTTTGCGTTTGACCCTGGATGCGGGTGCTGCTGGAGGACCCCTCACTGTGGAAAATATTTTTAGAGAAGTCTCAGAATCTAACCTTCTTGGCGCTCATCAACATTCACAAGCAGCCCTCCCATAGTCCCCTCAATTTCACATTGTGACGTATCAGTGGGGAATCCTAGAAAAGAGTGAGTATGGGATACCAAGAGCTGCCTCATCGGTGGCATGGGCCAGGAACGACATAGACCCCCCTGTGTTCTATCCATGCTCCCCCCTTGCCTCCCGTCTGTACGCGCTGATGTAGCATTTCACACGTGGCATATTGGTGTCAAAGCAATTCCGACTGCAATAACTTCACGTTGCCGCGATCCCGAGTCTCAGAATTATGCCACCGCCCTGGACAAACACCAGCATAGCTCTACCATGTGTGTTCCCAGTGTATCGCATTGATTGGCATGATGTCCAACGTTTCATTCCACGTATTGGGGAGCTTTTCCAGGAACTGAATGGAGCGGCTCGAGCTCTATGGGCGGGACTACCCGAGTCGTGGGCGGGGCCAACGTAAGAGCCGGGAGGCTGCCCCCTGTGTGGGTTGGAGCGAGTGGCTGAGTGGACATGGCTATACGTCCCAGGTGAAGTCTCCTAGAAACGTGGTCACCTGATTTAAACTATCATAGCTGGTCCCGTATACTTCACAAGTAGACCTAGGTACTACATCCCTGGAAAATGCCGTGTTCGACAAAACCGCGTTCGGCAAATAATAGGCCGTATGGTAAAAACAGGGTTGCGTTCCTGGATTGTAGTCATTGGTATTAAAGGATACTGTGTTGCTCTCCCTTTCTTGTGTGTGTGCAGTACACTAGTTTTCTATTTCACCTCAACATAACACATTCCTGCGGAGGGAGCTGGTAGGAACGTTGGGTTGCTCGGTCAATGGCCAGGGTCAACGGCGGCGCGGTGTATTCCGCAAATATGTCCCACTGTGAGGGCGGGCACAAGCCGGCGTGAAGGGTGGGGACCGAGTGGGGACCTGGGATGGTGGAAAGAAAAAATAAAGCTGTTCCTAAAAAAAAGTACAATACCCACGAATTGGCGGCTTATAATGTAGAGATTGAGAGCAACCGCATACTCCAAATACATGTTGTTGATTCTCCACGTGGAGGGAAAAATGTCGTGAAGATGGCCGGACGTGGTTGGTGGCCACCCAGCCCCTCGTATGTGCCGTGGCCGCCTTCCCCACCCAGCCCCTCCCTCCCCACCCAGCCCCTCCCTCCCCACCCAGCCCCTCCCCACCCCTCTCCACCCAGCCCCACCCCTCCCATTTTTGAATGCACGATGGACGGACGGACGGACACAATAATCCCCTGTGGGCTGGTGGAACCAGGAGGTTCCTACCAGTAAAACCTCCGTCTGACCGTCTCCATTACTCTTCCGCACAGAGGAACTGACGCTCAGTGCTTGCCCCTGACACTGAATTCCCAGCCTGCCGCTCGTCTCCAATAACGTCACTTGAACGTTAATGATTCGCCATCCAGATGTCCGTATAACGTTCTCAATGACCGGACGGCTATATGTATGCGGCAATGTGTGAACATGTGTTGTGCGCGATTTACTCAGTCGATTAATTTACACCTTCCAACGAATATTGCACTCTCACGACACTCCGTTTCGACGATGGGGCGATGAAAATATTAACCGTGTAAAACCACTCGCATCCGAAACATCACCGCCGTGTTTCTTAAAATACACATCATTAAACTTTGTACGGCATAAATCTTGACTTAGAGCTTTCGTGACTATAGGAATCCATATTCCTGGGTCTTTTGGTAAATCTTCTTGGCTCTTTCGGTAAAGTCACGTAGAATGGAAATAAAATAAAAATAAAACAATAAAATAAAATTCTCACGACGTTTCGGCCACAACACAAATATCCTTCTTCTTTGGTTCTTTCGGTAAAGTCACGTAGAATGAGAATAAAATAATAAATTGATAAAATAAAATAACAATAATATTCTGACGACGTTTTGGCCACAACACAAGCGGCCTTCATCAGGTGAAGGGACGAGACTGTCTGGTAGGACAGCGCTGGAGTGAAAAAGCCACGTTCAGATCACGGCCTTTAAGCTTAGAGTCGCGGCATCTCTTCAGAAAGGTGAAAGACTCGATTAGTTGAGCCTTCTTATCCCGGAGTCTGTTGAATGATCTTAAGGATGTGTGGAATCCCTCCCCGTAGAGGCGGTTAAATTTCGATTTAAAGCTTTCGTGACTGCAATGATTCATCTTCTTTGGTTCTTTCAGTAAAGTCACGTAGAATGAGAATAAAATCATAAATTGATAAAATAAAATAACAATAATATTCTCACGACGTTTCGGCCACAACACAAGCGGCCTTCATCAGGTGAAGGGACGAGACTGTCTGGTAGGACAGCGCTGGAGTGAAAGAGCCACGTTCAGATCACAGCGCTGTCCTACCAGACAGTCTCGTCCCTTCACCTGATGAAGGCCGCTTGTGTTGTGGCCGAAACGTCGTGAGAATATTATTGTGTTATTTTATTTTATCAATTTATTATTTTATTCTCATTCTACGTGACTTTACCGAAAGAACCAAAGAAGATGAATCATTGCAGTCACGAAAGCTTTAAATCGAAATTTAACCGCCTCTACGGGGAGGGATTCCACACATCCTTAAGATCATTCAACAGACTCCGGGATAAGAAGGCTCAACTAATCGAGTCTCTCACCTTTCTGAAGAGATGCCGCGACTCTAAGCTTAAAGGCCGTGATCTGAACGTGGCTCTTTCACTCCAGCGCTGTCCTACCAGACAGTCTCGTCCCTTCACCTGATGAAGGCCGCTTGTGTTGTGGCCGAAACGTCGTGAGAATATTATTGTGTTATTTTATTTTATCAATTTATTATTTTATTCTCATTCTACGTGACTTTACCGAAAGAACCAAAGAAGATGAATCATTGCAGTCACGAAAGCTTTAAATCGAAATTTAACCGCCTCTACGGGGAGGGATTCCACACATCCTTAAGATCATTCAACAGACTCCGGGATAAGAAGGCTCAACTAATCGAGTCTCTCACCTTTCTGAAGAGATGCCGCGACTCTAAGCTTAAAGGCCGTGATCTGAACGTGGCTCTTTCACTCCAGCGCTGTCCTACCAGACAGTCTCGTCCCTTCACAGGATGAAGGCCGCTTGTGTTGTGGCCGAAACGTCGTGAGAATATTATTGTGTTATTTTATTTTATCAATTTATTATTTTATTCTCATTCTACGTGACTTTACCGAAAGAACCAAAGAAGATGAATCATTGCAGTCACGAAAGCTTTAAATCGAAATTTGACCGCCTCTACGGGGAGGGATTCCACACATCCTTAAGATCATTCAACAGACTCCGGGATAAGAAGGCTAAACTAATCGAGTCTCTCACCTTTCTGAAGAGATGCCGCGACTCTAAGCTGAAAGGCCGTGATCTGAACGTGGCTCTTTCACTCCAGCGTTGTCCTACCAGACAGTCTCGTCCCTTCACCTGATGAAGGCCGCTTGTGTTGTGGCCGAAACGTCGTGAGAATATTATTGTGTTATTTTATTTGATCAATTTATTATTTTATTCTCATTCTACGTGACTTTACCGAAAGCACCAAAGAAGATGAATCATTGCAGTCACGAAAGCTTTAAATCGAAACAAATATCCTTCTTCAGGTGAATGAACAGGACTGTCCAGAAGACAGCGCTTGAGTGAACATTGCTAAGCATGGGTCGCATCTTTTAAGCTGTGTGGGCGGAATTTACATATGAATTAGCATGTCAAGTCACGTAGATAGGTTCTTTGATAGGTTCTTTGAACCTATCTACGGTATTACTTTTCTTTGAACCTATCTACGTGACTTTGAACCTATCTACGTGACTTTACCGAAATAATATTTGTACGACATAGCCAAAACATGCGCTCATAAAGCCAGGCGATGATGCCCTCCTTGTGGCCGGACCCGACGTTTCACGTGGAGGATGTGGGACGTGTTAGCGGGCTTCTGCTGCCATCTCGTGGTCAAATGTGGGAGAAAATAATATGGCGCAATGAACAACCTGTGTCCCTGCCCCGCTCTTTCACTTTGAAGACGTTTATCTAAAACCCGACTGAACAAGTCGACAGAATGAATAATAAAGTGTGCGGATGGAGGGCCACCCACCGCCATGCGGATCGTGGGGGTTATTCGACCATACTTCTCGTTGGTTAGTGTCGGTTGCTGAAGGAATTTAGATTTTTCCGTACTTCCCAAATAACGTAATTTCCACAGCAGCCGAAATCTCCTGTCGTGCATCATGGTCGTGCGTTCAACGCATGTGCCGACAGCAGTAACTTTATTTTGAAAAATATCATATGTCCAACGGAATCAGCACCCATGCATTGCCCGAATGTTATGACTACCTTATATAAATATCATGGAATTACACTTAGAGAGCAGTGGATTCAAAGAAGCCACACAGGGTAGAGAGACATCCCAAGTGCGAAGTGAGCGGGCTGGGCAGGGCGCGCCACGGCCAGAAGGGACGCTGGGATCCGATGGCCGAGACTAGTAACGGAGCGGCAGCCAAAGGATGGAATGCACTCGAGGGGACCAATCCCAAGGCGATGGATCGATGTTGGATGGATTATTACATCCCCGGATCGTGCGAGGTGTTGACGGCTAAGGGAGGCCATCATCCAGCAGTGGTTAGATCGTGCCTGATGATGGTGAAAACTGAAAATGCAGGACACATTTGACTGTATGGTAAATGTTCGCTCGCTGTGAGTATTTTAGTGTTCGTTGTTAGTTCGCTGATCGCTGGCCATGCGAGACGCGATGCTGACGACAGTAACAGCGTGTGAAGCACACTGTACGTACAGTGCGCGCCCCACACTGCGCATGCGCCGTAAGCCACGTGACGTACAGTGCTGTTTCAGCAGTCGGCAAGGCTCCCAACGAGGTGCCATGGTCCCTCTCTCCCCGCATCCCATTTCTCCCGGTATCCCCTTTCTCCCGGTCTTCTTCCCTCCCAGAGTCCCCTCTCTCTCCGTGTCCCCTCTTCCCCAAGTCCTCTCTGCCCTCTGGTTCTCCCACTCCTTCCCTTCTCCCCGTGTCCCCTCTGCGCGTCCCCTTTTACCCCATGTCCCCTCGGCTCCCCCGTCTACCCGGGTCTATCATCTCCCCGGGTCTATCATCTCCCCGGGTCTATCATCTCCCCGGGCACCCCATCTCCCTCCCTGTGTCCTTTTCCTGAAGCTACCGGGTCCATCCCGATTCGGCCGGGATAATCCCGGTAGTTTCCGAAAGTCTGTTCCGTGTTCGCTGTGAAGCTTTTGCGAGATTCAGGATTTGTCTCCGTTTACAAAAAAACTCGTGGCCTCGCCCACTCCATGTTCCCGGTGCCGCGGCGCACGCTTCACGCACATCCAGGGGCCGCCCCTGCCCCCCCCCCCTCCGTGTGGGCGGGGCTAGTGCGTGAGTGGGCGGGGCTATATAAAAGTGGGCGGGGGAGGGGTTACTGGTTCCCCGCGTGTCCCGGTCAAGCATCCCAGAAGTGTGGTGGCGTCGCCCTCCCGCTCCCCACAGATGGAGGAGCTTCCCGAACTCTCCAAGGAGGAGAAGCAGAGGCTACGCAAGGAGAGGAAGCAGCAGCAGAAGAAGAAAAAGAATAAGGAGGAAGTGCACGGGGACACAGGCGACGGCAACAGTGGGGGAGGTTCAGGTTGGTGTGGTGTGAACGGTGTATGGTGATCTGGTGAGCGCTACTCGCTCTGAGAAGGAGTTGGAGGATCTGCTGCTGAACCTGGAGCGTGCCACCACGAAGTGGGTCCTTAACTATCAGCTCCACCAAAACTAAGCACCTGCCTCGGTATTTTGTGTGAGCAAACACTCCACGCCCACAAATCCCCATGAGTATTGGGGCAGTTGTGGAGAGAATGGTAACGTTTTCGATACTGGGCAGTGTGCTTATGACCAGTTTCGGTTTGGCAGAAAAGGTTTCATTACGAATCAGTCGAGTGGCATCTTTTCATCAGCTGTGTAACGCTGTGTGGAAGCTACCTGGTCTGTCGCACCACACGAAGCTTCAGGTATTAGGTACTTGAAAGATCTGGAAAGATTCCCATCGGTGAGCTCCGGAAGGCGAGGCTGCATTTGCTGGGTCAAGAATGCCGCATGTCCAGCCACCGTATGCCCAAGCAGCTTCTGTTTGGCAGGATAGAGGGGGCTAAACGGGCACAGGACGAGCTTGAAAAGAGATAGGAATATGTGGAGTTGAGTGGACATGTCGGTAACTGATACCAGTGGTGTCAGATCGGCCTCTATGGAGGAGGCTCGTGAAGGACGCTACTGGGCAGTTGGAGGCAGTCGCCCTTCAACAGCAGATGGAAGAGGAGCAACGCTCACAACAACGAGCGGAGCGTCGGGCTGCTAAAACGCAGCAAGTAAGTACAGTGGGGAGCACAAGTGATGCATCTGCCAGTCATCTCAGTCAACCCATGACACCTGGGTATGTCCCGTGACCTGCCAGCGTACCTTCGACACTGAACTTGGCCTCAAAGCACACCTAGCCTGGTACAACCATGGTGATGTCACCAACACAGTGGCGAATTGTGGCTGTTATTGTTGTTGCTGTGTGGGTGTATCTCTGGGTGTAGGCGTGTGAGTTTATCTCTCTGGGTGTAGGTGAGTGGGTGTAGGTGTGTGTATCAGTAGTGCCTGGGTGGCATCGTGAGGATTCGTTTCCCTGCCACCCCGCGTTTCCCTCTCTCAGAACCGGCACCAGCGGCGCCGCCCATCCCGGCCGCGGCTACAGTGAGTGGCGATGGGAGGGACTGTGGGGTCAGGGTGACTGCCCCCCCCACCCCCTCCCCTCCCTCCACCTCCACGGCGGCCCTTACGAACGAGAGGGGAGCTCCGGGAGAAGCGAGTGGGCCCAGCAAGAGCAAGGCGGAGTTACGTGCAGAGCGGCGCGCGCGCCAAGAGGCCGAGCGGCTCGGCAAGACTGCCAAGCGCGGGGGGGACAGCGGTGCCCTCGCCCCTTGCGCCTCTGCCAAATCTCGGGGAGCCGGCCCAACCATCGACCCGAAACCCAAGCCCCCTGGGCTGGACGGGGGCCCCGGTGAGAGCAGTGGGGTCGGCACCCCCTTAACCGCATGTGAATGTCTCACGTGCCCCCCCCGCCCCCACCTCGTGGTGATGCGCAGCATGTGGAGTGAGGTTTACGTCCGACAATGTTGCGCTCACTTGTGTTGGGCTGTGATGAATTACGTTTTCTTAAATTGTTGCATAATATCAGGTTATGTCAAGTAGGTATATGTGTATCCTGAAATTGTGCTGTGCTGTGTCATCTTACGTTGTGAATTGTTCAATCACGTGTTGTATTAAAATGTGTTAAGTTGTGCTGTGTGCCAGGTGGCTCAGCGGTAGAGCGAGTGGATTGCAACAAGGTTGTGAGTTCAAATCTGACTAGGAATGTGGAATTTCCACCAATGCCTCTGCAGGACTGTTAAGAGATAAACACTGCCTCAACGACCATTTAGCAAAAACTCATATTTACTTGTTTTGAGTTGTGTTACTTTGTGTTGATTTTAGTTGAATTATGACGAGTTGTGATGTGATCCATTGAATTGTGTTGTGTTGAGACCCATTTTTATTGCGGTTGAGTTGAGATTGAGTTGCGTTGAGGTTGAGTTGCCGGTGTGTGCACAGTGGTGAAGCGCGTCTCGGAGCACATGCAGGCCGATGACCCGGCCGCTCAGAAGAAACTCGCCAAGAAACTCGAGCGGCAGCAGGTGCCACTCGCCACGCTCACCTCGTTCGCCACGCTCACCTCGCTCGCCACGCTCACCTCGCTCGCCACGCTCACCACGCTCGCCATGTTTACCATGCTCACAAACTCTCACTTTCCTCACCTTACTCGCCACACTCACTAAGCTCACCTCGCTCACCCCACTTACTAGGCTCGCCACACTCACAACTCTTACCGAGCTCACCATTCTCACCTTGCTCGCCCCACTCACCTCTCACTATGCTGATCATTCTCACTCGGCACGCTCATTACTCTCACCACTTTCACTCACGCAGGTGCCACAGCGAACGGACTCGACACGCAAGGTCACTCTCTTCTCCCACCTCCACCAGTACAGCCGGCAGATGTCCCTCACTCACTCCCTCAGGTACCTCACCCCGTGTCTCACTCAGGTACCTTACCCCATGTCCACTCACTCACACCCTCACGCTGTGTGTCATTCACACTTTGACCCTGTGTTTCACTCACTCAGGTACCTCACTCAGGTTCTCACCCGTGTCCACTCATTCACCCAACCGTCACTTTGTGTCTTAATCACTCGGGTACCTCATCCCGTGTTCACTTACGACCTCACCCTATGTCTCAATCACACCCTGTGTCTCACTTACGCGGGCACTCTGTGTGTACCGTGTAACCTGTGTGTGTACTGTGTATACTGTGTAACCTATGTATGTACTCTGGGTACTTTGTAACCTATTTGTGTGTACCCTAGCAGCACTGTGTAACCTGTGTGTGTATTCTGTACTGTGTAACCTATTTGTGTGTGTACTCTGACTGCTCAGTGTAACGTGTGTGTGTATTGTTGAGAGTAGTAGCACAGTGGTTAGCGCTCTGCCCTACAAACCCGGCGACCCGATTTCGATTCCTGCTCACAGCCAACACAACTGACGATTATCTGAACCAGTCCTGGGCCTCCACTAGGTCGACTCAGTCTCAAATGAGTGACATCACCACTGGGGATTCAAAGGTGGCCGGGCGTAGTTCTGGTCACCCACCTCGTCGTATGTCGTGCCAGCCTACATAGGTGATCGCAAACAGCACTTGCCCCAACAGTCTATTAAAGCTATACAGGGGATCTTTGTATTTTATTTTATTCTGCACGCAGCCTGTCATCGTGTGTGATCCACCCGTCCGTGCTGCGGCTGGGCCTGCAGTACTCCCAGGGCGTCATCACGGGCTCCAACGCGCGTGCCGTTGCGCTGCTGCACGCGTTCAAGCAGGTGCCTCCATACAGCAGCGCCCGAAACGCGCACGCATGTACTCACGCGGGGCACACCAGCCATAGCCAGCAGGGGCCCCAATACCACTGAGGTCGCGGCACTGCTCAGACCGCGGTACCGACACCATTTCTCCATCGCGTACTGGCATTGTAGAGTGATTGTGGTGGTGAGTGATTGTGGATTGTTGAGTGAGCGATGGCGTTGCTATCCTCCTCCTCCGTGCTCTTGCTGTGTGCAGGTGATCCGTGACTACTCCACGCCCCTCAACGAGGATCTGTGCCGCGACCTGGTCAACAAACTTAAGCCCGACATCAGGTGACTCGCCACTCACCCTGTGAAGCCTAAACCCAGCCCGAAGCCAATCTTTGGACTGGAAAGCGGCGCTTGGCTTGAGCAGTTGAGAAGCTGAGCTGACCCATGTCTACTTCTCCCTGCAGCTTCCTGAATCAGTGCCGGCCCCTGGCTGTGAGCATGGGCAATGCCATCAAGCATCTCAAGAGCTGCATCAGCAGCATCCCTGCCGGCACTCCCGAGAGACAGGTGTGTGTGTGCATCTAGAGACAGATGCGTGTGTCTTGACAGTTGTGTGCGCGTGTGTCTGGACAGTTGTGTGTGCGCGTGTCTAGAGGCAGGTGTGTGTCTAAAGACAGGTGTGTCTCTCGCTCAGGCCAAGGAGTTGCTGTGCGATTGGATCGACAGCTTCGTACAGAATAAGATTGAGCTGGCGGCCAAGGCCATCGCAGACTTCGCAATTCAGAAAATCAAGGACGGCGACACGATCCTGGTATACGGATGGTACGAGCTTACCCAGTCACGTACACACGCACACACGTGCATGTACACTGCTCGCCTGCACCATGTGTACGCGCATAGACACGTATTCTCGCACATACATTCGCTATGGTCAAGGGATAGGCCTGGTGCCTATGGATTTTACTGACCGAGATGACTGACAAGATGACTGAATTTCACCACACACACTCACCACACACACGCTCTCACCGCCACACCCCAGCTCGTCGCTGGTGAACAGGGTGCTCGTAGAGGCACGAATGCGGGGCCGCACGTTCCGTGTAGTGCTGGTGGACAGCCGTCCCCGCATGGAAGCACGTGAGGCGATGCGGCGCCTGGTCCGCCACGGCGTGCCCTGCACCTACGTCCTCGTCACGGCACTCGCCTACGCTATGCAGGAGGTGAGGCCCGTGCCGTCACACCGCGATTGGCCGCCCCCACATCCTAGGAACCACCCCCCCCCCCACCCTGCGTGACGTGGTCAGTGCTATTGATGACATCACCAAGCCCTGCCGGTCACCTCCCGTCCAGCGGCACACGTGCGAACAGAGACGACGCACTATTTTTGTTAGCCGATTGGTGGAGTGATGGAACCGATGGTCAACCATGATGAATTATGGGAGAATTTTGAACAGTTATCCTATTACTTGCAACTCAGATTGTTTACAGCTCTAGGGCCAGATACTATTGTCCTTTGCACTATTGCTATTTGTGACAATCAGCAGTTTTCCAATCCTTTGCAGAACTGTTTTGCTTTTCGCATATTTTTGCAGGGTAGTTGAATGGCACATTCTACTTATGATTACCTGAAAAAATGTTTTCCATGGAATAAAGCCACACATACTAAGATTCCCCACAGCACCACGGATAACAAGAATCCTCCTGTACCTAAGTATATGGACAAATCGAGCTCTCGTTGGTGCTGTCGTTTCCAGGTGTCCAAGGTGTTCCTGGGTGCCCACGCTCTCCTGGCCAACGGCTACGTGATGTCGCGCCTAGGCAGCTCGCAGGTGACGCTGGTGGCCAAGGCCTACAACGTCCCCGTGCTCATCTGCTGCGAGACATACAAGTTCTGCGAGCGCGTGCAGACCGACTCCTTCGTGTCTAATGAGCTCGGTAATCGGCCCCCATCCCCACTCACTAAACATTGGCCATGGCGTGGCCATCAAGATGTCTCGTTGCTACCAATGCTTTCTTCCCTCTGTCAAATCCCGCAGCTACTGCACCACAGACACAGACCTCTTAGACGAAACCCGTAATTCTGGCATTATTACATTTGGTATTTGCGAACGATGCGAATAGCAAATGCTTGAATAATTTCATTAGGTGAATTCTATTTAGAGTTTTTATTGCTGGTGGATTGCCTTCTGCTGGGTGCATGTTAAAATGGCACTTATTTTTCTTCAACATTTGACGCAGCACACGTCTAAAGGCAGCCACATCACTCTTATCGTTCAAACCTAAAAACGTGATAATTGTCACTTCTGGTTTTGGTCAATAAGGTTAAATTGGGCATGTATTTTTGTGTCTGGTAAGACCTTAAATGGTTACCTGATGCGGTGTGAACATCAGCACTGGACATGGTGCTGGTCATCCACCCCGTCGTGTGCCACATTGCTGGGCTTCATAGGTGCTATTCGCTAACAGCACTTGCCCCAATATTCTGCTAAGGCTATAGAGGGGAGCTTTGTGCATGTGCTGTGTTCGTGTGTATGCCCATGCGTATGTGGGAAGTGGTAGTATACCGGTTATGCTGCGCTACGAACCCAGCAACCCGAGTTCAATTCCGGCCAACACCAGTGACGATTATTTGAACCGGTCCTAGGCCTCACCTAGGTCGACTCGACCTCAAATGAGTACCTGGTGCAGTGTGTAAATATTGCCACTAGGGAGACAAGCGCAGCCGGGTGTGGTGCGAGCCACCCACCCCCTCGTGTGCCATACTGTCAGCCTTCAAAGGTGCTAATCGCTAACAGCACTTGCCCCAACAGTCTGTTTAAGGATATATGGGGGATCTTTGTCTTTGTGTCTGCACGGGAACTCTGTGTCCCAAGACGACCCGGACAACCTGGTGTGCTCACGCGGGGACGAGACTCCCCTGAGCGGCTGGCGAGACGTGCCCAGCCTCAAGCTGCTGAACCTGGTGTATGACGTGACGCCACCCGACTTCGTGGCCATGGTCATCACGGATGTGGGCATGATCCCCTGCACGTCGGTGCCAGTCGTGCTGCGTGTCAAGAGCGACGACTGAGGGCAGTGGCGGAGTGTCTATCCCGCTCCTGTCACAATGCGATCTTTGCTGGGCCTGTGCATCTCTGCATAGGGAGTTCGCGTAGTGGCTTTGGTGAATGGGTGACAACCTTGCTCTGCTTGGTAAATGATTCCACCACAGCGCACATGCACCCAATTACCTGAGATATTTGTGTGCGCATAATGAAGGGTGAGAATAAACGTGAACTTTTAGGTGCTCGCGAACAGCACATGGAAGTTACACTGGCGTCTGTGTGCAACTGCGTTTTTGGTTGGGAATTATATTTGATTTGGTCAGAAACTGCACTTCCTTGTTTACATAAATAGGTTGCTCAGCAGGCACAATGTTTACCCATTTCACTTCTAAGTGTTCATGGTAAAAAATGGGCAAGTCCCTGCCACTAACACCTACAGGTGGAGCACACATGGATCAAATATTCCCCGCGGTGTCCACATACACAAAATACACGTTTGTATTCCAGAATGGTTTTACATTCAGCGTGTGTTGTGCTGCGAGTATTCATGACTGGAGCCGTAGATCAGTGAGGCAAGACGGCGCTGGCCAAGTGAAATGTTTATTGCATCAGTAATGTGCAGCAATGACTGTAAACGGTGGGCAAGGAGGCACGCAGATTCATCTGCAAGGCAGCAGAGCGAGTGGAGGCTTCAGCCTAGTGACCTTGTGCTGGAACAGAAACATTTGTGCAAATTAAACTCTGAGCCAGCAGCAGTGGGCAAGGGCGGGTCTCCCAGTGCTGCGTCATTTCACAAATCCACACCATCACACACCCCGACAATTGTGATCAAACACCCAGTCAGTGATTGTCGTAAGGTCAGTTCGGGGCGTAACCTCTAGGGCACAAAGACACCAAATTTACCATCCTAGTTTACCAGTCGTAAACGCACCAAATTTACCGGCCGAGTTTACCAGCCGTGCAAACCGAAACCACCGGCCGAGTTAAACGGCCGTGCAAAGACACCAAGTACAGGTAATCAGCCAAGTGCAACTTCGGGCATAGAGATGCCGAATAGAATCTGCAGCGGCAGAAAGCAAGAGGAGATTGAGGACAAAGAAAGGAGAGCGGTCAGGTGGGTGACTGCCTTCTGGGGAGACAGAGGCACCAGCATAAACGGATCTGTGTTAAATGGCATAAAACGAGTAAAATTATCCCATTTCCCTTGTCATGGACTGCCTCATAAGGAGGCGTGTATCGCCACAGTCGTTTCACCTGGGCAGAGTCAGCCCAGCTCTTGGATGGTGTGGCTGGGGTCATGAGCCCCAGGGCAATGCGATGACCTGAGCTGGGAAGAGATCAGGAGGCAGGAGAGCGTCCACAGGGGACGGAAGAAGAGCCCCGAGCCAGATCCTCGGCAAAACCCCAACCCTCGGAGACACCAACCTAAGCGGGCACCTCGGACCCCACGAGACCTCAAAGGAACACGACCAGGTCTTTACTTTCTGCGCGAGCGAAGGCCGCCTGGATGCTGGCGAACACCACGTCGGGAGACTGCGCCGCGTCCACCGCGGTGTGCAACCCACGCCGCTGATAGTAGCCGACGAGCGGGCTTGTTTGTGTGTGATATGACGCCAATCGCGACGCCAGCGCCTGCTCGTTGTCATCCGAGCGCCGGATAAGAGGCTCTCCCGTCACCTGCGTCGACACGGGGAAACACGAGGCAGACGTTCAGGACATCACAGAGGAGCGAAGGACAAAACCACTCCACAGTAGCGCGATCAGCGCTCGCAGAAAAAGCAGCCCCAGAAGGGCATGGTGAGGGTGGCACTCACGTCATCACGCATGGGCACAATTGGAGGATTGAACTCCTCGTGGTAGGAGCGCCCACTCTCTTTGTGAATCAGCCTGGAACACACGACGGGCAGACAAGACAGACATTACTGGGTTACGGCACAGCATTGAGCTGTTGTGTGTTTATTGGGAGAGCGGTCTTACAGTGTTAATGATTATGGTAGTAGCTATGTTTGCGGCTGTGGGGAAAGTGGTGATGTGGTAGCGTACTGCGCTACAAATCCAGTGGCCTAAGCTTAAATCCCAGCCATGGTTAACACCAGCAGCTAGTGATATCTGAGTCGCTCCTCCAAAGCATCCCTCCCCAGGTTGACGCAGCCTTAAATGAGTATTCAGCGTGGTGTGTAATCATCAGGACTGGGGATAAAAATATGGCCGGGTGTGTTGCTCACCACACCGCCTCTCCATGCACTGTACCGGCCGTCATAAGTGCACAGCCGGTACGCTCACAGCACTTCCCCCAAAAGCCTGTGCAGGCTACATGGGGTAAATTTCTGTTTGTCGTCATAACTGTAGCTATGAATGTGGTTATAACTGGCTGTAACTGTAGCTATAAACGTGGCTATGATTGTGATTTTGTGGTTGTGGATGACTCCGATACCGGCCACAGATGCGACGGATGAGCAGGGAGTCGTCCACTTGGAACTCGACGACGGAGTTGAGTTTCTCTTTCCTCTGATCCAACAAATCATCGAGCTGCATGACACAAGCCACTTTATTATAATACTCACCCCCTCATCACATAATACAAGCATTCACCACACACTCCCTCGTCACACCACACACCCTGCCATCATTCACCACTCGCCCACTCATACCACTTACCCACTCACCTACCTCATCCGGTCACCACACCACTTACCCCCTCAACACACTGCTTGCCACCTCAACACGCAACTCACCCCACTCACACAGGAGACCCCCGCTCACCATCTCGGCCTGGCGCACAGTGCGTGGGAAACCATCCAGCAAGAATCCCTTACTGCAGGCTGGGCTGTCCAAGTTCTGCTCAATCAATTCCACCACCATCTCATCGCTCACCTGCACAAAAACAAACACACATGCACAGACACATGGACACACGGGCATGTACACAAACGTGCACGCATGCGTACAACCTCAGATGAGTATCTGGTCATTTGTGTAAACATCAGCATTCGGTAGATAAAGATGGCCACGCACCATGCCAGCCTTCATAGGTGCTTACTAACAGCAATTGCGCCACCATCCTGGAAAGCTACTACAAGGGGTCTGTGTGTGGGAATGAGTGCCCACCAACTTTCCGGCGTCCATTGTCTCCTTGAGGCGTCGCCCCAGCAAGGAGCCGCTGGACACCATGGCACGCAGCATGTCTCCCGTGGATAGGTGGCAAACGCAGTACTCCTCCGCCAGCCGTGGGGCCTGGAGTGCACACACACACACACCATATGCGACACATTTATCACAAACACGTCATACACTATACATACATCACACATACACGACAACTACACTACACATCCGCAAACATAAATCATTCACTATACATACATTATACATAGACATACATGATACAAATATCCTCTATATAGCCTGAACAGACTGTTGGGGCAAGTGCTAGCACCTATGAAGGCAGGGACGGCACACGAGGGGGTGGGTGGCCAACACCACGACCAGCCGCCTTTGTCTCCCGAGTGGTGATGTTTACACACCACACCAGGTACTCATTTGAGACTGAGTCGAACCAGGGGAGACCCAGGACCAGTTTAAATCATTGTTAATGGTGTTGGTGGCCTTGAGCGGGAATTTAACTCGGGTTGCCGGGTTCGTAGCGCAGCACGCTAACCGCTCCCCACCATGATACAGTATATACACAAATGTCATACACTACACATAGGGCGGTGACAGTGATCGCGGGTTAACCATTTGTGGGTCAAGATCAGCAGGCCGCCGTGGTGAACGCTGTAACCGTAAGATCTAGTCATCCAGTGCGTCAATCTGGACTTGCCTTTAACCTCACGTGAATGTCCGTATGTGCTGGCAGTTGGATATTTTGGGTTAAGGTTTCACAATGAGACTGTCACCCTGTAAAGAATCCGACAGATACAGATTCCCCATATGCTCTTTAACAGACTTGTTGGGGAAAGTGAGCACATAAAAGTTATACACACACACCCTTGATTCACACAAACCTTCACACCCATTATGTACAAAGACAGATCCCCCGTATAACCTTAGGCTGTTGGTGCAATTATGTGCACACCTTTTTTACAGGCATTATGTACAAATTCACGCATTGTACAAACTTTCATACACATTCATTGATGCAAACTCTCAAACAAAACAGATTATCACACAGCAACAGACGTGCAAATACACAGATATGGCAGCATCATAAACACCGCAACCACCACCATTCGCCTCGGACAGCCAGCCACGTCCACACAGCGATTGTGCCAGGCAAGGATTGTGCAACGCAAAAAACACAAACATCCCCGCCATTCACCACTAAGTGGCGGTGACGTCTTCACGGCGCTTGTGCCATGCTATGTGCACTTTTGAGGCCACGTGAAGTGTCGAAGGCTCGCTGGCAGGTCACAGAACAGACCCAGGTGCCATGGGTTGACTAAGAGACAGGCATTCACACACGCACGTTCACAATCACACACAATTGTTCACGCACCAGGCGCACACCTTCACACAGAAATGCAAGACAAAGTTCCCCTTTATAGCCTTAAAAGACGTTTGAGGCAAGTGCTGCAAGCGAGCACCTACGAAGGCCGAAAGGGTACAAAGGTGGGTGGCCAGATCTCCACTAAGGAGACCGCCTTTGTCTCCTTAGTGGCGATGTTTACACACCGCACTAAGTAACTAATTTGAGGCCGGGTTGGCCGTGAGCGGGTAAGCAGCGCGCTAGCCGCTACACTACCGCTCCCCAGCCCGGCCGCGGCCCCGCCTGGGTGGAGCCACTGTCCCGCGGAGCTTGTCCGCCATCAGGAATGCGGCCGCACAGCATCCTCGCTGCAGGGAGGGGGGACCCGGGTCACCGACACGGGCCCCAGGGCGGGGGTCCTGATGCCCCCACCTCCCCTCGCCATAGACGTCAGCATAGCCCGAGATGGGACACGAAATCCAGGGCCTCCACACCCCTCATGCCATGTCCTCGTAACACACCTCACCACGCATCCCTCTCACCTTCCCCGTAAACCCTACATCACCCCTATCTCACCCCCATCTCACCTCCCCTCGCTCCGTCTCTTCCCCCAACCCTGTACAGTTCTCACCCGCGACCTCCATCACCTCTCACGAATCCCCATGACCCTTTCCCTCCTCTCTCCGCAGACCTCCACTCTCTATTCACCTCACCCCTCTTCCCGTCACCTCTCACCGTGCCCTCCTCAAACCTTGTTTCACCGACCTCTCCTCAACCCCGACGTCTCTTTGGCTCTCCTGAATTCAATTAAATCACTCCGTCCTCTGATCCAATCACCACGTCCTCTTTCCTCACCAACCTCTACCCTCAAACCCATCTCTTCACCCCAGGTCTCTCATCATCTCCCCTCACCCCTATCCTTTCTCCTACATTCACCCGTCAACTCACCTTCCTCTCCTCCCTCCTCCATCGGGCTCTCTCCTCTGCTCACCCGATCCCTCCCCCACCCATGACCTCACCTCCCTCACCCCTTACGGTCCTCACCTGGGTCCCCTTCCCGGCACCCGGGGGTCCGAGCAGCACCGCGCGGATCCCGCGGCGCATCTCGGCCGCGAGCCCCGCGTCGCGCTGCGCGTGAACTTGCGGCGCCATGAGGATGATGAAGCGGAGGGTGAGGAGACGGCCACGCGTTGGAGGAGAGGACGCGACCCGGGACCGGAAATTCCACGACTCGCGATGCACGGAACCGGAAAAACGTCACTGCTACTGAGACGTCAGTGCGTGATGTCATTTTTCTCTGTTGATGACGTCGTGCGGCTGCGATTCGGTGACGTCATGTATCCACGTGCACCTTTGGGGGACGAGGCGGTCTCCGTGTGATTGAGGCCGCTATCAGAAATCCTGCCTCTGTGGCAGGCTAGGGGGTCTCTGTGATTGGGTCCCCCCTGTGCTCCCCCCCATGGCCCGTGGTGGACTGTATGTGGCAGCAGCAGTGACCCCGCTGGAGGGAGATGACGCGGCGCTGGGATCCGCTTAGGTCGTCGTTCCCACCGGCGCGGCGCCGCGGCTTTATTCCGTAATCCGCTCCGAATTGGGACGCGATGGCCCCTCCGAGGCTCCCAGCACAGCGGAGATTGCAAAACGCCGGTGGATGTTTCCGCGTTCAGCATCAGCTGCTGATTAGTGCAGTACGATTGTGATTAGTGTCGCTTCATAGTGCAACCGCATTTAAATACAATCTGCTGAATCTGTGGACATTTATTTTGAGAGCGGAGCAGTCGAGCAGAGTAAAAATTAATTAAAGCCTTGAGCTTTGACTTAAGCAGGGACAGGGAGTCGACTACAGGGGTGGCTGGGGGGAAGAAGTTTCAGACAATGGAGGCAGCAGAAGAGAATGAGCGAACTACACCCCCTAATATTCACTAACAGCTGATGTTCACACATCACATAGTTGATGGTAAAACTGATGTTCACACATATGATGAGTCTATAGCTGGTGTTAACCCACAGTTGATGTCCACGTGTTCGCCTAGTCACTGTCCCCAGCCCCACCATCCGCCGCTCAGCGCCGTTATTTTTAGTCGAATTACCCGCGCCCTTCACGGAGCAAACGTTTACGCAATTCGCTGAGCGCCCCTTGGGTTGCTGAAATGCTAAACGCGCAATCGCTGGGGGATTACAACTTACTTGGGGGGGGGGGCAGCTGGAGCCCCTCCCATCCCACTCTCACCTGGGTCAAGCTCTCACATTAGTCCACCCCACTCCCCCCAGGGAAAGGGCCCCAGGTATAGGGCAGTGGTTGGAACAGATCGGGCAAGACACCGACGGAAAGGACAGACGGGATGAGACGAGGACCAGGGGCAGACAGTACAATAGTCCAGGATGCGTTTAATGGCCACGCCGCGTTTATTGCGCCAGCGTGGGACGGAATGCTATAGAAGAAATGTTTACAAATGCTTCACTGTAAACTGATCATGCACAACACCTAACCGACCCCCCACAACACACACAGGTGCCCCCCACCTCCGTACTCTGTGCGGACGAGACCCCTCGTGCTCTGGAACCTCCCTCATTGAGTTATTTACTCATTCCAGGTCACAAAACCTCCAAACCACCCTAACCCTAATTCAATCCCCACAGGTGAGACTTCCCTTCCACACCTGGATATTGAGTGCTGCCCACTCCACAGTGCAGAATCCAACAACGAAGCAGGGATTTGACACATTCTCACAGCAAACCCCATTGCGCCAAGAGAACCAGGCTTGGGGATGGCGACTTGGAGAAGAATACTGGATGAGGTTGTGGGAGTGTGGAGGGCCTTACATTACGGACATCACTACAAAAATTGTTAAAATATAAAACCACCTCCACAGCCTCGTTCTTCTCACACAGGCTGGGGCCGTTCCCCATATGCGTCATGGCAGTCCCACTCTTTGGCCTGGAGGCCACGAAGGTCGGCGTGGCTTCACGTGGTTCCATGCCACTCACCGTGCCCAGCACGGAGCGCCATGCCCTCTGGCACACGTGGGCTCACTAACTCCAAATTCACAAACAACTCCAAGTTCAATATGAAAGACTAGATTCACCGTTGACTCAAAGGTCACTAGTGCCTCAGGGCTCACCAATGATAACCAGGTTCAACAATGACACTGGGTTCACCAACGACTCCACGTTCATCTTCTTGGTTCTTTCGGTAAAGTCACGTAAAATGAGAATAAAACAATAAAACAAAATAAGACAATAAAATTCTCACGACGTTTCGGTCACAACACAACAGCCTTCTTCAGGTGAAGGAACAGAACTGTCGGGACGACAGCGCTTCAATGAACGCTGCTAAGATTCGCAACGTCTTATTTTATTTTATTGTTTTATTCTCATTCTACATGACTTTACCGAAAGAACCAAGAAGATGAATCCTTGCAGTCATGAAAGCTTTAAATCGAGACTCCACGTTCAACACTTAATACCAGGCTCACAAATAACCCCTGGTTCAACAGTGACCCCAGGCCAGAACGTCCCCCCACGGCACCATCATATGGTCAGGATGCGTCCCAAAGTGCTCCCTTTGCTCACATAGCCCCGCACGGAAACACGACCGCAACGTCACGGCAACACAAAAGCAGCGACCGGAGCTGCAGGTTAGGCCGGTGTTTGGGATGGTGGTGGGGCCTGAGCTAGGGCCGGCATTGTGTTTTCGACCAGCCAGCACCACCTGCCAAGACAATGAGCACCAGCACGCACTCCGACTCATCTGAACCCCGACAGTGCATGGTGGGCTCGTTCAGATGATAGCTGGGACGATTAGTTGATCAAGTGAATTGATTAAACGTCGTCTGTGCTTAAATGACACACGTGGAAACTGAGATAAAACATTCTTCCAACTATTTTCGTGTTGGTCGAGTAATGGGACTGGTAATTAGGAGAGAAATTGATTGATTACTTAAATAATCGGTTATCCCAGCTCAAGTTCTGAGCTAGCCGTTCAAGAGAGCAATGATTTCTGGGCCCTTTGTCAAGCGAATCATAACAAGGCAGCAACAGCAGCCACTCTCATAACATCCACTGGAAGAGTAATTATAAATAATCTCTTTAAATTTAACACATTAGGAATGTGAGCAGCATCTGCCAAGACCCCACAGGGCTATAGGCGTCATTTGGATTTACCCGGATATCCCCTGTGCTGGAAGTTTCAGCACCGCCCGTGACACCTGCAGCTCCTCACGCTGCTCCCTCAACACGAAACGGATACATGCGCAAGCAAATTACACTCGCACACCTAAGACAACGCTATCGACTGAACCTCAGTACTGCCGAGGACAAGTAGCGGTGGCTGAGCAAGCACTTCCTGCTCCACCAGATGCTACCGTGGTCCCGCCGGGGCTGGAAGAAGCAACCAAAGTAGTGGTGCCACCCAAGAATGGTGCCTTTAACCCCCCCTTCCCGCCACCGCCCAGATATTCAGGGAGTTTTCCGCTGTGGTGCATGGACACCAAGTGTCGCGTGGTGCATGCATAACACGGAATATCATTTGCTACCCAGAGTATGCTGTGGTGTGTGCAATACATGCGGTGTGGGTGTAGTGTGTCTGGTACATGTGGAGTCATATATTCAGGAAATGTAGTGTAGCGCATGCATAATATAATTTGGTATACACAGTGTGGTGTGTGGTACACAATATGTGTGGTACCTGTGAGTTGTGTGCTGACTGCGGTAATGTGAGGTTTGGTGCATTATATACATCAGACATTGTGCGGTGAGTGTGGTACATGTGATGTGGTACTTGAGGTGTGATGTTGTATGTGTTGAGATATATATAGTGTGGAATTTTTTACGTCACACGATACGTGTGGCGATGTGTGGTGCGATACACAGTGGAATGTGTGATATGGTACACAAGATGTGAAGTGTTTGGTGTGGTACACGTGGGGTGGTATGCAAGGTGTGCTGCGCTATGTGTGGTGTGGTAGGTGCAGCATGGCACGCAAAGTAAGATACGATGCGCGTGGTGTAGTATGATGATACATGCGGTGCGATTGGTACACTCATTGTGGTATGTTAAGTGTGATATGGTAAGCGAGGTATTGTGAGGTACACAGGACGTCGCGTGTTCCGTGCTTTGGCGCCGCTGGATGAGCGCTCGCCTCCTCAGAACTGCGTGGCGCCGGAGGGGTCGCACTGCAGCAGCCGAACAATGGAAGGGTCATTCTTGGCTCCAGCAATGAACTCCTCTAGGGAGAGTTTGCCTGTTGCACACAGACACCTAGTTACAAACCAATACACACACCAACACACAAACAGCAATACACGAATATAAACATTAACGCACCTATACACACACACCAACCCACGCATAAAAAACAGCAACAGGCACGTACAAAACACACACCAATAATCACAGGCCATCACAAGAGTGCACTCACACTTTGACACAGCGGTTTTGGAAGGGGCTGCCCACTCAACTAAGCAGCTGAGCCTAATCCCTCATACCGCATTGAGGCTGAGTGCAAGGGCTGGGGGGTGGAGCATGTGTGATGTCACTGCACCATACCATCGTGGTTCTTGTCCATCTGCCTGAAGATCTTGTCAGTGCGTTTCTCAGGTGTTGACTCATCCTCCGGCATCTTCATCACGGAGGAGACCATCTTGTAGATGGCCTAGAGATGGATGTAGTGTGCAAGAGAATCCCACAAACACCTACTTAGACTACATCACCACCTGCACCCACCACCCCCTCACCTACATTACCTCCATCTCCATTATATCCATTCCCACCTTCACTTCCTCAGTTACAACACCCTCCCCCACCCCCTTTACCTCTTCTGCCTCACCACCTAGATCACTCCCTCCCCATCACCTTCGTTACCACATCCATCACCGCCTCACCTATACCACTTAACGTACACCCTCACCACCTCCACCACCTTCCTCACTGCCGCCGCCCACTCACCTGCACGATCTCCAGCATCTCCTCTCGACTGATGTAGCCGTTGCCGTCCAGGTCGTACATGCTGAAGGCCCATTTGAGCTTCTGCTCGAGCTTGCCACGCGATGTCACGCTCAGCGCCACGATGAATTCGCGGAAGTCGATGGTGCCATCGCCGTTGGCGTCGAAGGTACGAAACACGTGTTCGGCAAACTTGGACGCGTCGCCATATGGGAAGAAGTTCCCATAGATCTTCTTGAACTCATCCACTGTGAGGCTACCACCTGGACAGTCCTTGAGGAATCCCTTGTACCACTCCTGCAACTCCTGCTCCGAGAACTCAGTGCTCTCCCGCAGGTCCTGCAGCGCCTCGGGCCGCAGCTTGCTGTTCTGCTTGCCCATGCTGGCCCCAGCCCTGCACCTCCTGCTAGGAGAGAGGGGACACCAAGGGGATATTAGAGCAAATAGGGAGTGGACAACCATAGTCGAGTCCATGGGGACACCATGACAAATCAAAGGGATAGCAAGATGACGACCATGGGAATGATCATGTGGACACCATGGAGATAGCGAGCGGCCACCACAGTGGACATCCCGGGGCTACCAAAGCAACACGACGGAGACACCGTGCGGACAGTAATAACAAGCGGACTCCCCCAGGGAAAGAAAAGGTTTGATATCACGGGACACCATGGGAACAAAAGGGGACAAACAGAATATCAAGGGGATATCAAGGGAGCGCCACGGGGACACAGAAACACCATGGGACCACCAGTCTGGGTTCCCTCACTCACCAGGTCCATTCACTCAATGGGGTATGCTTACTCAGTAGGTCCACTCACTCACCCGGGTTCCCTCAATCACTGTCATATAGGTACCCTCACTCACCCGGGCCCCCTCATTCACCGATGTCAGGGTCCCCTCATTGGGGTGTGGGTCCCCTCACAGGGTCTCCTAACTTACCCCGGGCCCTCACTCAGCCGCGTCCCCTCACTCAGCCGGGTCCCTTTACTCACCGGGTCCCTTTACTCACCGGGTCCCCTCACTCACCGGGTCCCCTTTACTCACCGGGTCCCCTCACTCAACCGGGTCCCCTCACTCAGCCGGGTCCCTTTACTCACCGGGTCCCCTTTACTCACCGGGTCCCCTCACTCAGCCGGTCCCTTTACTCACCGGGTCCCCTTTACTCACCGGGTCCCCTCACTCAGCCGGGTCCCCTCACTCAGCCGGGTCCCCTCACTCACCGAGTCCCCTCACTCACCGAGTCCCCTCACTCAGCCGGTCCCCTTCACTCAGCCGGGCCCCTTCACTCAGCCGGGCCCCTTCACTCAGCCGGGCCCCTTCACTCAGCCGGGCCCCTCACTCAGGCGGGTCACCTCACTCACCGAGTCCCTTATCTCACCGGGTCCCCTCACTCAGCCGGGTCCCCTCACTCAGCCGGTCCCCTCACTCAGCCGGTCCCCTCATTCAGGCGGGTCCCATCACTCAGGCGGGTCCCCTCACTCACCGAGTCCCTTTACCACTGGGTCCCTCAGCCGGGTCCCTTTACTCACTAGGTCCCCTCACTCAGCGGGGTCCCCTCACTTACCGGGGTTCGGCTCCCCTCGCCTCCCCCGCCTTCCCGTGTCTCTAGGCCCCGCGCCGCCTCTGCGACCCCCTGAGTCTGCGAAGCCGCGTTCTGCCGTGCGCTCGAAAGGGTGCTGAGGGGGTCGAGGGGCCTCTCGGGGAGAGGGGGACTAATGGGGTCTGTGGGGATCGCAGGGGTCGGGCTCCGCGCTCTGGGATCAGCGGCGGCGATTCCATGGGGCGGGGCCAGCGTGCGGGGCGGGGCCAGCGTGCGGGGCGGGGCCAGCGTGCGGGGCGGGGCCAGCGTGCGGGGCGGGGCCAGCGTGCGGGGCGGGGCCAGCGTGCGGGGCGGGGCCAGCGTGCGGGGCGGGGCCAGCGTGCGGGGCGGGGCCAGCGTGCGGGGCGGGGCCAGCGTGCGGGGCGGGGCCAGCGTGCGGGGCGGGGCCAGCGTGCGGGGCGGGGCCAGCGTGCGGGGCGGGGCCAGCGTGCGGGGCGGGGCCGAGCGCGTGACGCCACGGGGATGGGACTGTCCGAGATTAGAAATCAGAATCTTTAGACTGGATTAATATTAATCATAATCTCCACACGTGATGCATCATAATAATCACGGAATAGTTAAGACTAACGGAGTCGGTCAAGGATGTCAATTGTAATTCGGTCAAACGGCGAATGGATGCACGATCTGGTGAATGAGTGGGTTAATTACTCGGTTAATGAATTAGCTGGTACAGAGGAGATAGTAAAATATTCAGTTAGTGAATGAACGAGTTTATGAATGCCCAAGTGGAAGAATGAATATGCTGGTGAATGAATGAGTTCTGGAACAAAGTGTTAATGTTACACGTGCTTGCAAATGTTAAATGGGGAGAACGCCTATTCCAGGGTCACACCATGCTCTCCACATACTCACACACAGGATGAAACCTCAAACAGTTTCTGCAAAATACGTTTATTGGAACACATCCCATCCCGATGACAGTATCCTGTCCAGACACATCCCAGCTCGAGACAGTCCCAAGAAGTGTGCCCAGCACGTGTTGTGCACTGGGCAGCACTGAGGGCAGCCCCCAGAGGAGCTGCCACGAGGGGCTTGCAGAGCACACAAGCAGATGCGTCATCATCGCGAAACGGGCACATTCTCACCAACTTTCATCTTTTCGTGTTTAGTTTGTTGTCCTTCAGCCGCACCTCCGATTAGTGCAATTGGATACATATGCATGTTGAACTTCTTTCGCAACTATACACTGCCAACTGTGCTAATCGGAGGTGTGTGAGGACAACAAACTAAACACAAAAAGCAGTTATTTCGCACGGATGGGGCAAATGAAGTTCATCATACATACCACACGTGTCATTTCACGTCGACTGCAACTGCACGCAACAGTCTGGCTCCACACATAGCGCAGCTCCAATTGTAGGATTGCTCCATTAAGACCTGATGTCAAATAATTCTGATAACCAATTGCTATCACTCTAAATAATTGTAATGTTATCTAACAATGCTATCATTGTATTTATAATTGACCACAGCTCTGGCTCGACGTAGAGCTTGTGTGTGGAGCTGCTCCAGGTGGAGCGTGGATGCACTGCTCACATGAGCGTTGGCTCAGGGCCGTGCGTTGTCGAAGCGCACGGATCTCACCACCCTGGCTGGCACACTGCCCAGCCCAGCTCCAGGTCGACTCAGAGCCTTCTCCTCCCAACTATCACCCTCGCCATCACAGCTTCGCTGGTGAGAAAACGCCAGCGCTGGAGGAACGGTGGCAAGGTCATGGTCAAGTTCGAGACCGAGCTATGCTCACGCTGCAACTGGTGTCACAAGCAATCCCCGTCTCCATCCATGCTTGTTTCCATGGGTCTCTGTGTTCCTGACACGGGGGCCCGTGGGTCCCCTGGCAGGGCCCCCCATGCTTGTCACACAATGACAGGCGCGAGCGAGCGGAAGAGGCGAGTGACGCAGCTCTGCAGCATCTCCCGCAGAACCTCATCCTCCTCCTCGCTCCCCTCGGCACACTCAGCACGCTGAGGACAAAGAAAAATGAGCTAGAAAGAGAGCGTTACATGAACACACACAATCCACAATCCCAGGCATCTCACTTGTCGGTACCAGTTGAGGAAGTGTGTCCTCAAGTGGTTCCAATGGATTTGACCACTAACAGTGATTTAATGCCATAACCTTTTGAAACGAGTAGGTTACTGTATATTCACTCACACATGTGGCCTCGTGACCCACAAGGAAATGAGAGGGGTGAGACTCACACACGTGTCCAGGGAGACGTTGACCGTGCGTCCGTCCACGCTCACTGAGAGGGCATCCCCAGCCTGCGATAGCGATACCGAGTCCTCTCCGAACATGTCGCTGTGTGGGGGTGGCACGCAGCTCTGGTTAAACTGAACCACAAAGTCAAAAATAACTGCACCATGGCATCCCACAACCGAAGTACACGGAGTGAGTAGCGCTCATAGCACCACGGGTCGCGGGCCACACACCTAAGCATAGTGAGGACCCTCTGCAGGAACACGGCGCTGTGCGTCTTCTCAGGTGGTCCATGGTGCGGAACTGCACAGGGCAGAGGGTGGTCAGAGTCAAGGCCAGCACCACCAGCACCTCCACCCCCCCCCCCCCATTATTGCCGGTGCGCTCCTCCCACCGGCACGGCACCGGCTGTGTGCGTGATGGGCTGTTACCTTTGCAGAGCTTAGGGTTGGATTGAACTTCCAGCACTACCGTGACGACGGCGTCAGCGTACATATCGCTCACGGGGTTGGCGACCCACTGCAGACATTACACAGGGCACACACACAGTACCCGAATGCAGCGCATACAGCTACAAACAGCTACACAGTTATACAAGGGAACACTAAGCATACACACACACAATACACACACGGATACACACAGCACAGTAATCCCAGATTGTTATTGCAAGTGCTGTTAGTGAGCACCTTATTCAGGCTGGTATGACACACAAGGGGGTGGTGTGACCAGTACTACGCCTTGCTGCCTTTGTCTCCCAAGTGCCAATGTATACACCACACCATGTTCTCATTTGAGTGGACCTAGGGGAGGCCCAGGACTGATCCAGATCAGCGTTACTGGTGTTGGCAGTGAGCGGGATTCGAACTCGGATCACTGGATTCATAGGGCAGAGTGTTAACCACTTAACTACACAAAGCACACAATACATGCTTGGCCACACATAACACAGGCATAGTACACAAACACAATGCACACACGTACACGGGCACAAACATGATGCACACAGCACAAACACAGCACTCAAAAACTCAGCACACAATTGGGCATTTAGCACATGTAACTACACACAGCACATTCAAAGTGGTTAACACTCTGCCCACATTCTAAGTATATATACACACACACACAATGTACAGTACTCAAATACAGCACACATGGTACATGAGGTGGGGGGGGTTTGGGGGGGCTCAGGGGGAGGGGGTAGAGGGCTTTGGGAGAATGTCACCTCCAGGACCACCATGCCAGGCTCCTGGATGATGGTGACGGCACGGAACACACGCAGCGCTGGCTTATCCCCAACCTCCACCTCCTCCACGTCGCCTGCACACACACGAATTACACAGGAACACAGCATATACACACACCGCATGACACAGGCACACACACACACACCGCGTTACACAGGCACACACAACAACAACAACCGCCATTCGGAACACACACATCACGTTACACAGGCACAAAGCACACACACCATGTTACACAGACACATACACTGCATTATACTTGCACAGAGCACTCACACATACCACGTTACACAGGCACACACACACACCACATTACACAGGCACACAGACAGCATGGTAGTGTGGTAAGGATGAGCATGATGAGGTTGAGAGTAGCGGTGTGGTGAGGTGAGCGTGGTGAGGCTGAGTATGGCGATGGTGAGTGTGGTACCAGCAAGCGTCTGGAGGTGATGGGCCAGCAGTGTGAGAGGTCCCGTGTATGGCACCGCCTGGCACTGGGTCACATGGCTCATCGTCAGCTCCGTGTAATCTGAATCACAACACAACAACACTCATCACCTCTTCCTCCTTACCATCCTCTCCTTTACCCTCCTTCTTACCTCCAGTTAAACTCAGATCCATACTGACCCCATCACTGGTATCAATGGTGGGGGGCAGGGAGGGGTTGTGTGAGTGCGTGGGGGATAGCGTGGTATGTATGTTGAACTTCTTTTGCACCATACGTAGCGAACCATGCTAATCGGAGGTGGTGGCAGTAGGGGGGCAGGGTGAGCTCACTGGACAGGTCGTTGGGGGCCAGGATGTGGTAGTTGAAATTCCTCTTCACCAGGATCCCTGAAATCCTCTGCCCCTGCTCGGCCTTTCTCACCGCCAGCATTCCCATCACCTGGGGAGGGCAGCAGCACACTGTAACCCACGACACAACGCGTGGTACCACCCCACCGCTGTTCGGCACGTGACGAGTAAAGCATCATAATTCAGGGTCACAATTTAGGTCCCGAATCGATTCTCATTTGGCTCCTCTCCATCGTCCATCTCATTTTTTATTATCACAGTGGTCAAGATCAAGATGTAATCAAGCCCACAGCCATGAATGCCACCAATACACCTCCTTGCTACCAACGACTTCTGCTTTCCACCAGATCCCACAGTTGCTGCACAATCGACATTCAGAAATCTCCACGATCTGCCCTGACATTCTCCCACGATCTGCTATTAGGCCTTCCCTGAGCCGCCAGACTCGTGGAGGCCGTTCCAATGCAACTGAGCAGTTGACCTTGGCAAGCTTCTCTCCGCGGAAGTGCAGCGCGACGGCTTCAGTGTTGCGTGGGTTGTGAACCTCCATCGAGACCTCCTTGTTGTCCTCGTACTCACGGATGATGGCCGCCTTAAGCCGCCCCATCTCGTTCTGCTCCCCGTGCACCAACACCTGCGCTCAACCCACCCGACGATGACGAATACAGTCACAAAATGTCAACCACGACAACCAACCACAAATTAATATGCAGCCACAGTCACGCACAACTATCAATCACGACCACAACCACAACCATAGCCACAACTAGAGTCATCTGCAACTGTCGGTCATGATCATCAGCAGGCTACCATAGCCACAGGCACCACACGCCACCTCCACATGTGGAGCAGAGACACGTCTTCACTCCAATACAACCACAGCTACACGTGTCCCCATGTCCCAGTGCCTCTCTGTCTACATGTCTCCCTCTCTATGTGTACCCGTGCCTCTGTCCCCATGCCTGCCATGTCCCCGTTTCCGAGTCCACATTCCCCCACGTCCCCCCATGTCCTCGCATACCACGTGTGGGGGTTTGAGTGCGCGGATGAACTCGCTCGTCTGCTGGTAGTCTGTGTGCGCCGAGAACGAGATGTAGTCCACCGACATCTTGAGTGGTAGCTTGAGGCCGGACATGGTCATGATCTCCTCAGGTTCCGACATGATGTGCTGAGGTCACATGGCACACAGTGACGTTAAGACACCAGCGACAGGGCAAGGGGCAGGGTCGCAGGGAAGGCAGAGAATGTGTGACAGCAGTGGGCAAGAGTGGAGGAGTCCAGGATAGTCAAAAACAAATGTAGTTTAGGGATTTAGGTTAGAGGTAAAGAGTCGGCTTTAGGGTTAGGCATAGTTTCAACCATATCATATTACACTTGTTTATTCAGGAGGGTCCTGTTAACTTTTCACAGGAGGGAGCAACAATTGTTGCGTCTCACAAAATTAGTAATTTGCAAGTATTTTTTTTATTTTGGCTTATGTGGACCATGACGCTGGCACACATTGGTCTACTCTTCCTTGAATGACGTTACGATCTTTAACATCCATTGTGAAGCAGACAGTGCATATCTATGATTAATACACCCAAACTATTAACCAGGGTGGCCGGGTGTTCATACCGTGCATTCAAACTGCAAGCAAGCGGCACACATACTTATGCTTGACCACGTCACCAACCTGGTTAGGGGTCAAGGTGAGATACAGGCACGCACGATGTGGAAGCGTTAGGGATTAGGTGTATACACTGGGGGCCTGTGTAGGGGAAGCGGCACCTTGGCGAGCGTGCCCTCCACGCAGTAGCCGGCGATGATGACACCGTTACGTTTGTCTGTGCACCAACTCTCGAAGAGCTCGCGTGAAAGCCCGCTCTGCATCATCCCCGGGGAGGCCATCACCACGCTGGGCCCGATGTCATCAAAGTGATCCATGCTCTGTGTACGCGCACCATACGACCGCCGCACAGGGTTACGCAGCCCGACATATCCACACAGCTCAAAACGAACCCAAGCAGCTCCACACAGCTCCATGTGACATCACGTCATCATGACTCCGCGGGACTTCATGTGACGCCACACAGCTCCATGTGATAGCACATTGCTCGACACTGCTCCACGTGACCCAATGACCCCACGTGACCACACATCGCACCACGCAATCTCACGTGAGCCTTCACTCACACCTTGAGGTTGCTGATGTGCTTGAAGACGAACGGGTTGCTGATGCTGATCTGCTTGCGGATCTTGTCGTTCATGGCATGCACGTATGTCTGGTACACGGCCATGCACTTCTTGGCAAGGGAGGAGGCGTAGTAGATGGGGATGTCGTGCAGCTCCGGGTGGTTCCCCCAGTATTCGTCTGCGTGCAGCAGCACAGCGCAGGGCAGGACACATTAGACAGTAGAAACAGCACAGCACATAACATGGCACAGAACAGAGTATAGGACGCATGAGGCAGCACAAAGACAGCACCAACAAGGGACACACCACACAGCACAGCAGAGGACACAGCACAGGACAAATCAAAGAGAGATGCACAGCAAAGAGTATAGGACACATCAGCAGCTGTATAAATACAGCACCAATAGTCCTAATGTCAGTCCATTCACTAAATGTTAATCAACTCAAGCCCATGACCCATGTGCTGTGAATGTCCACCCTTGATTGACTATGGCAGGAGGATCAATCAGTGTCACTGTGTGGTGGTGCTAGCGGTGATGCAGGAGTACTGTGTAGTATTGGTAGTGCTGCCAGTGACACGGCGCCAGCGGCCATGACGCTAGCGCTCCGTGCTCTCACCCAGGATGAGCAGCAACTCCTGCGCCCGTCCTAGCGCGAATACAGGGATGAGGCAGCGCCCCCCACGATTCACGATGTCCTGCACTGTATTACAGAAGCGCGCCTCGCGCTCCTCGCGCTTCTCATGGATATGAGTCCCGTACGTTGACTCCTGAGTAACGATGCACACAACAACAACACGTGTGTGTTACTACCATCATCACTACAGCAACGACATGTGCCACTACCACCACCATCACCAAAAGGTGTCATCACCCAAGACAAAGTTCCCCCGTATAGCCTTAACAGACTTTTGGGGCAAATGCTGTTAGTAAGTACCACCTATGAAGGCCGGCACATCACACGAGTGGGTGGCCAGTACCACACCCAGCCGCCTTTGTCTCCCTCGTGGCGATATTTACACACTGCACCAGGTACTCATTTGAGTCCGAGTCAACCTGAGGGAGGCCCAGGACAAGTTAAGATAGTCGTCACTGGTGTTGGCCGTGAGCGAGAATCAAACCCAGGTCGTTGGGTTCGTAGCACCGCGCGCTAACCTCTCCACTATCGCTCCCCATACCATTACCATAGTAATTATCACTGTGTCACAACCACCACAAGTGTAACCACAGCACGTGACACCAACTACACGGCCGCACCATGTGGCACCACAAAACTACACCCGTCTCTACCCCCATATATCACTATCACCATACGCAGACAGCATCACCACCACCATACATCCCACACACACCACCTATCACTCCCAGGCCACATGCTCACTTCTGCACCTGTTATTGAGTTAAACTGAGGCACAGGTGGCGAGCGGTGAGGAATTCACTGTGTGGTGAGCGACGGCTGTAGTGGTAAAGGAGTGGTGTCACTCACGATGATGAGGATGTCGGGTTTGACACTGGGGATCTCGGCGGCCATGAGATGTCGGTCTTCCTGACGTGAGAAGTCGCCTGTGTACAGCACCTACAACAACAACAACTCACTATCACAATAGCACAACAGCAATACGTAAAAAACAATTCAACAACACAACATAACAAAACTCAACAATATAACATTAACACATCAATACCACAATATTAGAAATGCACAATTACGGCAACACAGCAATACAAAAACCAACAACTCAACCACAACAACATCTTGTTCTGTGCCACAGCAAGGCTCACTGTGGAGCCGAGGCTCGCTTCGCAGCTGGGCTTGCCCGGCTGGCGGTGCATGCACGTTTGAGACGCCACACCCCTTGCTCACCTTCACTCCCGCGATCTCGATCATGAACATGGCGGCGCCCAGCACGTGCCCCGCGTTGTAGCACCAGAACTTGACGCCGGCCACCTCCTTCACCTCATGAAAGTTGATGGTCTCGATCTTGTCCATGCTGTCCTCCAGATCCTGCTCCGTGTACAGCATGTCGTCGGCCGAGATGTTACTGGGAGCAACAGAATGCACACACACACGTCACTCATGTCATCATCATCATAAGCCATTATCTATCCACTGCTGGATGGAGGCCTCCCCATGCCGTCGCCATCCCCCATTGTACAGTGTTGTTACCATGCATCTCACTCCTGCACATGAACTAATCTCATCCGTAAATCTCCACGGTGATCATCTTCTTAGACGTGTTCTTATTTTTGGTTCACATTTGACCTCCAGAGATAACTTAAGTTAAGAGGTTGAACGGTTAGGTAACGATGTGACTTGAGGTGACCAGGCGCTCAGGGATCAGAGCGCTGAGCCAGCACCCAAGAGAGTATGGGTTCGAATTCGAGTTTCAGTCACCCGTGATAAAGGGGGTTTGTCAAGTGCAGGAAAGTCTCAGTCCTGTCACCAATGACTGCACACTGTAAAGGAGACTGTTTGGATAAGGGTAGAGATTTGTTTGTCTAGGGCGAGGATTTGGTTAGGTAGACTGCTGTGCTGGATTATGGTTGGGGTAAGAGATCTCACTTATAGAGGAGTCACCTTTCTAAGCTGCGTCCATCTCTACTGGGCCAGCCGATGGGGGGACTGCACGGCCCCTCACTCACTCCGCGTCATTATCACAAACAACCAAGCGCCTCACCTGACTTTGACGAAGTCGGACAGCAGCCAGCGGTAGATAGCCTTGGTGGCGTGGGTCATGAAGGTCCTGCCCTTAAAGCTGGTCTTCTGCAGGAACCACGGCAGGGCCCCACAGTGATCCAGGTGGAAGCTACGCTTACACACACAGAGGTCGAGGGTTGGTGTGACAGCAGTGGCTGAAAGCGCCACTGGTGCCACAAGGCTCACTGGCTTGTCAGCGAGCCCATTTGCTCAAGCATGAGCCTGTCTGCTCATCCATGTGCATGTCTGCTCACCCGTCTGCTCACCTGTATGCATGTCTGCAAACTTCTCTATCCAATTCATGTCTGCTCAATCCTTTTCTGGCCCCCTTCACCCATCTGCCTCTGCCCATCTGCTCACACAATAGCCTTTTGACCATCTACCTGTCCATCTGTCTGTTTATGCGCTCGCCCATGCTCACTGGCTGATGAGCAGGAGGTCGATCTCGGCGGGGTCGATGATGTCAATGTAGGGCAGTGCGTCCATTCCGTCCAGTCCCGGGTGGATCCCACAGTCCAGCTGACACCGCATGGAGGGGGTACACAGACACTGCACTCTTATAACATGCACCCGAGCCAAACAGTTCACCACGTGGCCTCCTGGCCAGATGCTTTCAACAGCAATGCGCTCGTTTGGCCGACATTTAAATTATTGTGTAGGAACTTTGCTGCGACCAAATCAGGTTGTATCTTGGATAGTGTTAGGATGGGCGACCGCCATGTATAAAAGAGGTTTCCGTATGCTCCAGCAGTTAGCTTTATGGTGGGGCAGTGTAGTCCAATCCATTATTGTACTGTAAAATGCTTCAACGTCTATGCTCCCCGTATTCACCAAATCGCACCGACCAGCCTTATTAAGTGTGGTCAAATAATGCCCATGACCAACACAGCGTAGGAAGGTCCTCTTTCGGCAGTGCACTGACAAGACAGCTGCATGTGTACATGATTTTGTAACACAATGCGTCCCAGCAGCAGGCAAGGGGCCCGACTCGGCTCGGAGACATTTTAGGGCGACACCGGTCCAGGGTTTGCTTGCTGAAACAAATGCCGAGAGAAAACGTTGGTCCGAAAGGCCGATAGGCAGATGGGCATGAGTTTATAAAAGTGACATGCAGACGTTGGCGACTGATCTTTAATTCTGATGAATGTTCTCGAAAGGCACGAACATCGAATGGAGACGCGAGCGAAGGACATTGCGAGCCTCACCATGATTTTCCTTCCCTTGAACTCGAGGATGATACAGGACCTCCCGACCTCCTGCCCCGCGCCTCTGTAACGACAAAAGCAGCGCTCAGCCCCGAGATGGGGACCTCAGGTCTGAGCTGTGATCTCCTATCTAGCCGGGCGGTGGTGGTTGTACACGCTTGTAATCCAGCGCTGTGGTGGCGAGGGTTGATGGATCGCACAAATGTTAACTCCATTCCCGTGGGCGTCGAGGGGATGCCATACCCTGGCTCGACAGAAGGCAGTACAGCAAGTGGACTAATCGCCATCGGTTTCCATCCGTACAGCGATAGTGTTTCCACCTCGCGCGCGTGGATTTTATCCAGGTGCTCCAGATTCCTCCCACGTGTATAATACACACATTATTAATTGGTTAAAAACACCTTGATATAAATACCCCAATGTAGCAGGGCCCTTCCTAAAAAATGAGTCCTACGACTGAGCGTGGCTATCCTAAATAAACAAGTAAAATAAAGATGAGCGCTCACGTCGAAACATGGGAGCTTCTCACCAGAGCTGCGAGCTGCTGCCTGCAACTGGGACCTCGTGAGTAAAACCAGGAGCACCTGACAGGAGGACCTGACTGGAGCAGCGGGCTTGCTCCTGGCTGGGGCCGGGCACTCACAGGGGACGGATGAGCAGCTGGTCGCTCTCCTCCGCCGGCACGGTCGCGTCCGCCTTCTTGGTCGCCATGCCGTTGACTCCTTTCACTGCCGGGGCAAAGGTCGCCCTGGCTCGCCACTTCCACTGTTCATTGATTGGACGCCATGTTGCGTAGGGCCCCGTGTCGCCTGTCGATGACGCCAACATCCGTTGCTCAATCCCCACCCAAGATGGCCTAACAGTGTCCATAGCAACTGCTTCCCGGTGTTTCAACTTACTGCAATATTACAACTTCGCTTGTTTACCAAGGAAAGCCTCAACAAGTCTCGCTCGGCTCTTTCAGGAGGATGCTAAGTTTTCACTCGGAGGCGACGATGGCTATTGGCACACGATGGCCTACTCTCGCGAATTACGTTACAGGATCTTTAACGTCGTTGAGGGGTGGGCCCGGTGCAGACAAGGTGAGGTTGAGGTAGATGAGGCGAGTGGTGTGACGTGAGGTGTGGGTGAGTTACAGATGAGCTGTCGGTGAGGTGAACATACTGTGCTCTTCTCACCAGATCCCTGGCTCAGGGTTACCCTCTTCCTATGGAGATGGGGGTGAGTGAAATAACGAGCGAGTGATGGAATTAACAAGGACCACAGGCCCCATGTCTGTAAAGGAACCGAGAGAACGCAACGGAGTAAAAACACGAATCCTTTATTGACGAGACGAGAACCGGCCGAGACACACACCTGGTCATTCCTAACGGAGACTTTGGAATGGGATCATCGCGAGTGGAGGGAGGAGCGAGCGCACTGCCTTTCATTTGAGGGCAGTGGCATTAACACCATCACTGCCACGATCATAGAAAACCGGTCCGAGGTCAAACACAAATCTGAAACAATGAGACCTCACAATGCCTCATTGCAGCCTCAATGAAACCTCAACAAAATTCCGACCCCCTGGGGCCACGACCAGGGCTTAATTTTTCAACGACTATTTTCCAGGTCACTGGTAGACGAGAGAAGGCACGCGACTCGGAGCCACAGCCTTCATGAGAGGTATACTGGATGTGGTGTGAGATGCGGACATTCTCTGGGTCGCCAGCCCGGAGAGACCCAGAGAATGGTCCATCAAGAGGTTCCTCGTCCCAGCTCCTAACCCAAACTTCTTACCCCACCAGCTTGGTCTGGTTTTTAAACCACACTTCGTGGGAGCGATTCCACGGAAATGGACTGCGGTGTTTGAGCGACATGAGGGCAGCGACAAACGGACTCTACGGAGTGAAAACCCCACATTCATTCAAACGCAAGACAGGCAAAGTACACTCAAATTACAATTTACTGGAGGAAATGTGATGTAGATACAAATGACCAATTAATTTAACGTGTGTAATTTAGATACCAATTACGAATGTAATTAAATTACATATTTACATTACATGTAATTTAGAAATGTTCCATCTCTGCCCGACAGGCTGTAATGCAGCTAGGACCAATTTGCACCTGCTCCTGACGGGCACCACATGGACACACTCGCGCCACACGAACACAACACACCACGCAGATACCAGACACCACTCAACCGGCATACACCACACACGGACGCCTAACACACACCACAGCCTCCCTGTAAAAACTCGTGCGAGGGTTCGCCCCAGCACTGGGCCAGGCTGGAACCACACGGCCAACAATGCCACGGACTTAACACAGGCTTTTCCTCGTGAGGCTCACTTTTGGCCTGAGGCATCTGTTCAATTATCATCAGAAACCCGAGTAATTAAACCTTGTGGTGAATACTTGGCACAGACACCGACTTGCCAGGAAGGCTCAACTGCTTATCAGGGTTACAGGGAGTGGGCATGGGGTCGGGGTACGAGATCACAGGCCAGAAGGCAACAAGAATTCTATGCCAGCCTAGGTAAACAATCACAGGGAGACAGAGCGACAGCTTACACTGCTTGGCGTAGATAAAGTGGCGATGACAGCGTAGGGTTTCATGAGATACATTACAAACCGTTAGCCCGCATCTCAGTCTGCACCCACGGCGACACACAGGGGACGCACGGGGAGACAAGGAGGCAAAGGGGCGTTGGGTGACCCCGACGCATCAGCCGCCAAGGCTCTCCTGAGCAAGGGGCCTGGACCCTGCACTAACCCTGTGATGGCTCCCACCGAGATCGTGACTCCACGGCATCAGGAATCAGCTAACGCTTCCACAACGCACGGACGCAGCCATTTAAAAACTTTGCACGCGCAGCCTCAATGCAGAATGGACGCCGCACGATGGCCAACGGTTTGCCTGGACCCTTGTGTGTGTGCACGACTGTCAATTCAACCTCTGCTCCCTCCTGCCTCCTCCCCCCTCATGGCTGAGCACCTGCACAGAACGCACGCTCCCATCATGCCTCTGTACGGGCCCTCTTCTCTTTTTGTCGCACCTCCCCTTCGCTTACTCTCTCCCCTTCCTCCTCCCCATCCACGGATGACTCCAGCTTGTGCTTGTTGCTCTCCTGGAGGGGGCTGGCAGGAATAGCAGCACTAGCAGCAGGGCAGCCGGGCCGCAGGGTGAACGTCACGATGAGGCACGTCATGTTGTCACAGCCGGTGCCGTCGCCAGTGTTGTCTGGAGCCAGGCACTGGTCCAGCAGCTTATGGAGCATGGCGCAGACAGATACACAAACGCATGGGTGAGCAAAGGATGGCAAGCTTGCTAGAGTGAGCCTTTTTGAGTGTAAGGGGCATTGCACAATAATAAGTTCGTGGGTATTTACACATTTGAATGTGTGTATTTAAACAATTGTGTTTGTGCACGCGCATGTAGAGGAAGGGTACACACACCTCGTCCGTGATGGCCGATAGAGACAGCAGGTTCCCTTGAGCATCGCGCCGGTGCAGACGCTCGGACACAAAATCAACGACTTCCTGACTGCTCAGCACATTCCTGGCAGCATCCACATCAACAAAAAAACATCAGCAACAAGCACTAACATCAAACGACACAAATATGCATTAACATACAGTAACATCAATACATACTACCACCAGTGCACACTACCATCAACAATACCACCAGCACACACGCAGCAATACACAGAATCAGAATATGTATTTATACTGGAGGAATCCGACGAGCTATTAAGCTCTTTTTCACAAATGTCTAGTCGGGGCGGGTCAGAAAATTACAAACCCCACACCTCCTGTCGTTGTTTTTGGCGCGATGGATTTTCATGGTATGCTACTGCTGCTGCGTAATTGTACACGCATGCGCACATATGCAGACGTGCACACACACACACACACACGACAAAGATCCCCCCATATAGCCTTAACAGACTTTTGTACCAAGTGCTGTTAGCGAGCACCTATGTAGGCAGCACAGCCGGGAATAGGTGGCCAGGACCTTGCCCAGCTGCCTTTGTCTCCCTAGTGGTACTCATTTGAGGCCCAGTACCGGTTTAGATAATCGTCACTGGTGTTGGCCATGTATGGGAATCGGACTCAGGTACATAGCGCATTGCACTAACCACTACACCCACACACACGCACGCATGCCAGTGCCGTTTACCAGATGCCATCGCAGGCGATGACCATAAATTCGTGCTCCTCCGTCAGCGTGAGGCTCCGCACGTCTGGCAGTGCCGAGATCATCTGCTTCTCTGGGGGCAGCAGGGCGTTCTGCTTGTAGAAGTGGTCCCCTACACCAACACAGCGACACATTCAAACAGATCCCCCGTGGATCCTCAGACTGCTAGGGTGAGTGCTATTAGTGAGTACCTATTAATACCACAATTGCCAAGAAGTTGTGCTGAGGCACACCATAGGACACACTATGACATACGTTGCAGAAAATATAAAGAACTTACCTATAAAAGGCATTTTTTGTCTGTCTGTGGCCCGAAACTTGCGAAGGATTTGGCTCGTGAACTGTGGGGTTTACTTTTTTAAAAAGTACCCAGGTAGCACACCATAAGCCCCGTGGCTGAGCCAGCGCTATTCCGATTTCGCGTCCGTCACTTTTAAAAGTGTGTGGGTCGATGTGTGTGTGTGGGGTGCGGTGGTGTAGCAGTTAGCGCGCTGCGCTACGAACCCGGCGACCCGAGTTCGATTCGCGCTCACGGCCAACACCCAGTGACGATTATCTGACCCAGTCCTGGGCCTCCCCTAGGTCGACTCAGCCTCAAATGAGTACCTAGTGCGATGTGTAAACATTGCCATCGAGAGTCGCTGTGTGTGTGCGCACAAGTCGATGTGTGTGTGTGTGGGTCGATGTATGTAAGTGGATGCGTTTGTGTGTGTGTGTGCAAGTCGATGTGTGTGTCTTTTTCGCCCGGGCAATGCCGGGTACTTCCCGCGAGTCCCCTATTATAGCCTTAACAGACTGTTGGGGCATGTGCTGTTACCGAGCACCTATGAAGGCCGGCACGGTATACGAGGGGGTGGGTGGCGAGCACCACGCCCAGCCGCCTTTGCCTCCCCAGTGCTGATAATTTTACACACCGCAGGTACTCATTTGATGCGGAGTCGACCTAGAGAAGACCCAGGATCGGTTCAGATAATTGTCACTGGTGTTGGCCGTGGTTGCCGGGTTCGTAGTCCAGCACTCTAACCATTACACTACCACTCCCCACACAGTGCAGCACACACACAAGCACAGGCACACCGTAACAGAGTTGGCTCAGTGGTAGAGCAAGCTCACAATTGGAAGACTGCGAGTTCAAACCCTGTTTGGGAGGTGACTCAGCCTATCACATTGCGAGATAAAAAATATATCTGTACCATTTTGTGGGAAAGTCAAGTGGTTGTTCTATGGAGACACCCCTGCGATAATAACGTGGAATTTACACCGCTGGCTGAAGACTGTAAACAGATGAGCACCATCTCAGTGCTCAAATGAGCAGGAAATAACTTTGACCTTGTGTAACAAACACCACAACTCACACACAGCAACATGCACGCATTGAATCACATAAGGGGGCTTTGTTTTTTGGGGGCCCATACCGATGGCACGGGAGAGGTTGAGTCCCCCATTGACTCGCCCATCCATCGTCACTTTGCCCCCTGCCGCACAGATTCTATCCAGCTCGGCCTGGTCCTCAGGTTTGTGGTCGCACGACATCTCCAGCGCCTTGCCGCCGGCGCCGCTCACCACGCAGCGCGAATCTCCTGCATTCGCCACCACGAGTTGCGA